TTTATCTATCTGCTCACCCAGATTTTGCTCCCATCTGTCCATGTAAGGTAGTTTAGAGGAATCAGAATATAATAAGACATAGATTTTAGTTATAAATCCATTATGCTTATCATAGTTCTTACATAAGTGTTCCATTGGTGTGGAGGCAATCAGATCCCCTGTACACTTTACAGTTGCTAAATAGTGTGCTATTTGAATGTATCAGTACATTTCTGTGGGCGGGAGCTGGTGTTGATTCATTAAAGATTGTTTTGACAGAACACCCTTATGGTCACATAGATACGCAATGTGGAGGAATCCTTTGTTGGTTCACCAATCAAAAGTATGTGGGTCAAGACCCGGGATGAAGGTGGGATTGCCCAGTATTGGTGCCAAGGGTGTGTGTGAGGATTTAAAACCATGTTGGGTTGCCAATCTATCCCAGAGGCTAAGGGAAAACGATAACGTTGGGCAGAATATGGTCGGTCTATCTTGTGCTCTCAACCACATCAAATGACTGATCTGTTTTGTTGGGAGGCAAGAGGACTCCAACCTCATCCACTGGGGAAGGGGCACCCTTGAGTGTAAATTAATCAATTGCACCAGTTGGGCTGCATAAAAATATTTTTTCAGATCTGGCAGTCCCAAACCTCCTTTAATTTTGGGGGTATATAATGTGCACCTATTTACTCTTGGCGTTTTATCTCCCCACACAAACTTTAAAAGTTTCCTTTGGAAAAGTGTCAAATCAGATAGGTTTATCGCTATCGGTAAGGCTCTAAACAAATACAACACCTTGGGTAGAATGTTTATTTTAACTGAGTGCAACCTGCTGAACCAAGAGGGGGTACTGGAAGACCATCTATCCAGGTCTCCTGACAATTTCTTGTACAATGGAGGGTAATTTTTCTGGTACAGGGTCTCTAGAGAAGGGATCAGCAGAATACCCAAGTATGGCAAAGAATCAGATTGCCATTTAAAAGGAAAAGCCTGTTGAAAGCTGCTAACTGTGTGATCGTCTAGGGCAGTGATGGCGAACCTATGGCACGCGTGCCAGAGCTGGCACGCAGAGCCATCTCAGTGGGCACGCCAGGAAGAAAAGGATGATGAGCGCGCATGGACCGGCCATCCAGATCTCGTCCACACTGGATCCCCATCAAACTACATTTCCCACATGTCTCTGGGGCCAGAGTGGGCGTGGACGAGAGGAAACGGCTCCAATGCGGCTCTGGCACCAGGGGTGATGTACCCGGGGATGGGCGCGGAAGAGAGGAAGAGGCTCCCACGCTGCTCCCACACTGCTCCGGGGCCAGGGGCAACGTGTTCAGCGTGGATGGGAATGAGCTGCTGGGTTGGAAGCCACACCGACGCTGCCAGAGGTGAGATTGCTTGCAGTGTCATCCATCAGTGCCCAGCAGTGTCGCCTGTCAGTGCCCAGCAGTGTCCCATCAGTGCCATCCATCAATGATGCCCAGCAGTGCCATCCATCAGTGCCCAGCAGTGTCGCCTGTCAGTGCTGCCCAGTAGTGCCACCTGTCAGTGCTTCCCAGCAGTGCCACATGTCAGTGCCCAGCAGTATCGCCCATCAGTGCTGCCCATCAGTGCCACCCATCAATGATGCCCAGCAGTGCCATCCATCAGTGCCCAGCAGTGCCATCCCTCAGTGCCCAGCAGTGTCACCCATCAGTGCCCAGCAGTGTCGCCTGTCAGTGCTGCCCAGCAGTGCCACCTGTCAGTGCTGCCCAGCAGTGCCACCTGTCAGTGCCCAGCAGTGTCGCCCATCAGTGCTGCCCATCAGTGCCACCCATCAATGATGCCCAGCAGTGTAATCCATCAGTGCCCAGCAGTGTCACCCATCAGTGCCCAGCAGTGTCGCCTGTCAGCGCTGCCCAGCAGTGCCACCTGTCAGTGCCCAGCAGTGCTGCCCATCAGTGCCACCCATCAATGATGCCCAGCAGTGCCACCGATCAGTGCCGTCTGTCAGTGCGTCCAGGTAGGCAAGTGGTTAATTGCAGTGTTGGCACTTTGAAATAAAAAAGTTGGTTTGTGTTGCAGTTTTGGGCACTCGGGCTCAAAAAGGTTCGCCATCACTGGTCTAGGGTCAGGTTAAATGGTAACGATTTAGTATGGTTGACTCTGAGGCCTGATATAAGGGTGAAATTGCATAGGTCCGCAAACAAATTGGGGATTGATGTGATAGGTGATGTGAGTAGCAGCAGTAGGCCATCTGCAAATAGAGCGCATTTATGTATCCTATCCCCAGAAGGAATGCCCTGAATATCCGGGTTATTTCAAAGCTTAATAGCTAACGGTTCAAGGGCCAATATGAACAGAATGGGAGATAATGGGCATTCCTGTCGGATGCCCCTGTGGATGGCGATAAAATCTGAACTATAGCCCTTAGCGGACAAGCGAGCCCTTGGTGAACTGTATAAAGCATGAAGTGTGTTAAGAAAGTTCTGTCCAAAACCATACCGATGCAAAGCTTGAAAGAAATAATCCCAAGACAGAGAGTCAAAGGCCTTGTGCAGGTCAAGGGACAATAGCATACCTTTTCTGGTACCGTTGTTGTAAAAATTTGATCGCAGTGCTGAAATTACATTTATAATGGATCTAATTTGGTCAGGGGCCTGCCTACCAGGCACAAATCCCACCTGGTCAGATTGGATGTATGTAGAGAGGAATGACTTCAACCTGTTCGCCAATACTTTAGTCAATATTTTAAGGTCTACATTGATAAGTGATATTGGGCAGTAATTTGCACAGTCACCAGAATCTTTCCTTAGTTTGGGAATCACATGAATAAAGGCATTGTTTTCATGGTAAGGGGTTATCCTGTCTGATGTAATTGAAAAACAAGCATAAGTGAGGAGTTACGATCTCCATATATTTCCTATAGTATTGGCCCGTAAAACCATCTGGGCCTGGTGCCTTGGAGGGATTAATAAATGTTATCACTCCAGCCACCTCTGCCTCTGTGAATTCCTCCTCCATGAGTTCCACACGTCCTTGAGAGACCCATGGAAGAGGAAGACCCTGAAAAAACTTATCGGTCTTGGATGCGGACATTTGCATCAGGAGCGCATAAAGCTTTGAGTGAAAGTAAAAAAACTCACGTAAGATCAACTGAGAATTTTGGGTCAAATGTCCAGTGTGTAGACACAACTTTGGCATGGCGAGAACATAAGTGCGTGATGCCAGTTTCCTGGCCAGCAATGTATTGGGTTTGTCTCCCATCGTATAATAGACCAGTGCATTTATCTCTTAGTAGTCAAACTTAAATTCAAAGCATTACGTGCTGCATCTATCCTGAACTTAATATCCAAGTGGGGGGAAGATCTCTGTTCCTGTAAGATTCCTAAGAGCAGTCTCTTGTTCACTAATACGTTTTTGCGATTTTGCTTGGTGTGCGTTGCAATTTGAATTAACTTGCCCCGAATGGTAGTCTTGTTTGCTGCCCAGTTAGTCGATGGAGAGGTATCAGCGGGAGCATTTTCACTAAAATATTGGCAAAGTGAAGTTTCAACCTTGTGAAATATGGCAGATTATTAAACAGAGAGTTGTTATGGCACCAAGAGGAGTGTCTAGGTCAAGTCCACAACTCATCTACTGTCATTTGATTTTAAGTGTGCCATTTACACTATGTAGCTCATCACAAGCATGCACATTTTCATGATTCACGCATAGGGCAGCGCATTAGTTTCAAAGGGCTACCCCATGCATTACAAATGGGGCAAAGAAGCTCAAGTATTTTTTTTTTTGAGCCTTGAACTTGCAAGTTTTTTGTCAGAATACACAGATTAGTGCTGCAGCCATTGGCTGCAGCCGCTAATTGAACAGCTTTTTACAAAGCGGCTGAATAGAAGTCATCAGTGGATTGACTTCTGTTCAACTACAGTGGCCATACATGGATCGAAAGTCGGCCAGTCTCTGCTGAACCAACCAAATTTGGATCCATCTATGGCTAACTTTAATGGAATACTTCACCAAAACATCACTGTATCAGATAAGGTATTTTTATTTTTACAATCCTTGGCAATAAGGTTATTTGACCTAAGTGCAGCCTTGTGAACTTTGCAGTGCTGAGGTCATGTGTCTACAATTCTAAATGTCATTTTTGCATGTATGTGTGCTGCCACTCTGTCTGCATCTTTGTATTGTAAGGTTGAGTACTCTGTCACTGATTACATTATTCTTTTAACAATGTATGTATTGCATGTACATACTGAAAATGGTCAGGATAGATAGACAGAAAAATGCTTAGTTAAGTGTCTTATTCATAAGTCTTATTCATAAAGGGGACACATGAATTAAATGATGATAGATAGATAGATAGATAGATAGATAGATAGATAGATAGATAGATAGATAGATAGATCAAATCCAATTGATTGTAGAGTATCCCAGCTAAACTTCGGATTCATAAAAGGGACACATGAATTAAATAATAATAGCCAACAATGATAGATGTGGTCATCATGTGAACAGACTTTTCATACTAGTATGGAATTGTATTGGATTGTCATCTGATACAAAAAGGCAGTTACTTTGGATCAGGCTAAAGTAGCTAGATGAATCATGCACTTCATTAAGATTGTTATTCAGGAGGCAAAATAATAATCTGAATAAGGTTAACGTATATAAAAATGAGTACCTCTCTAAGAGTTCAACTCCTTCCAAACCTGAATTATTAGTTCAGGCTGTTGTCATGAAATGAATTCAGTCTGGTAATACAGTCCAGTGCAAGATTACTAAATAGGCAGAGTAGGCGCTGGCTTATGAGCCCCATGCTGTTTAAGGGCCCCGCAACAACATATCAAATAATGATTTGATCTTGAAAGAAAATTACAACAAAGCTTTATTTAATTGTTTACAAAAGATAGAAAAAAATGAATTAACTCAAAGTAGCGAAAACTTTGTTAAAGATTTTATAAAGAAAATATTGTGTATTAATGTAATGTACCCAATAACAACGTAAAGTACATAAACCATAGACATCAGGTTCACATTACAGTTTGTCTTTTAAAAGCTCATCTTCTTTCAGCTGTCAGTCTGTAAAAAAACGTTGGTGCAACTTATGTACATGTAATGTACTTTAATGATGGTTATCTCCATCTAGCGTCTGCTGTGCATAATCCTCAGTCCAATGTTATCTCACTAGAGCAGCCTTTCTCAACCAGTGTGCCCAGGCAGCCTGGAGTGCCTTGAAGTGTCTTCAGGGGTGCCTTGGCAAAATGTCTAAAAATGGCCCAAAACTTGTATACAAGCCAGTGGGTGGAAGAAGCCTGCCTTTTAGTTACACAAAGCCACAGGTTTTCATTGTGTACCATTATGACCTTCTAGCCACCAGCATCCTAACAACCAATTACATCATCAGTTGATAAGGAGGATGACAGCTGCCTGAACAGCATCCTAGTTTGACACTCCCCTGCCCCTCTTCATCAAAACTGGGGTCACATTAGCTCAGTGATGGAGAAAAACTGAAGGACAAGAGAAACACTGGAATACTACTCAGTACCAATGTGCAAAAGTATATTTGCTTTGGAAGAATAAATCACTTCTAATATTGGGTGTCCTACATGTGTGGATGTTGCTGCATTATATAAAACTAATAAAATAGGTATTCACATTTTAGAATGGGGTGCCCTTTTAAAATTATGGGCAGTCTTGAGGCACCCCATTTTAGAATGGGGTGCCATAAGACTTTCCAGAATTTTAAAGGATGTCTCGGGACTGTCCATAGTTTTAAAGTGTGCCTTGACTAAAAAAAGGTTGAGAAACACTGCACTAGAGCATGCATGAGAAACCTCCAGAAATTTGCAAGGGAGGCCTCAAAGTTTTGACTTTCAATGGGTCTCTAAGTTTATTCCGGCACTGATACAGTCATTTACGATAACCGTAGCAGATTGATTCCAGTATTAAGAAATGTGATCTCTCCTTCCACTGCTGGAAGCCCATGTAGCTGGCAGAAGGCTGTGCACCATTTTACATGGCTGTCATACTAACTCCTTGACATCAGCACTTTTTCCATTCTAGCCTGGAAAATGTATATAGTCCAGGAAATCTGACTTTATTTGTGGCTTGGATGTGTCAGATTAAAGTGGTAGTAAACTCATTTTTAAAATTTTACTTACAGGTAAGCTTATAATAAATCGTTCCTGTAGGTAAAATGAATATCTCCTAAACATGCACCGTTTAGGAGATATTCTCTCAGTCCTAAAGCCGGCGCTTGCACTCTCAAGGAACAGCATACCCGTACCATTCCTTCAGAACTATGTGCTGTGGCCTGGGACGCTTGCGTGCATGCGTGGTGGTGATGTCACCACGGCCTGGCCTGTTAGAGGGCCGGAGATCACGAACCCTGAAGAAGGACCGTTTGAAGATGGAAGCCTCTGCAACGGTGACAGTGTGTCATTGGAAGGCTTCATTTTAAGTTAAGTTTTACATAATGTGCTAGCAGGCGATGCATACTAGCACATTATGACATTACCCTGCAGGGGACTTTTTGTTTTTTTTTTTGTTTACTACCACTTTAATTAACTTGAAAGTATTGAGGTCATCAATATCACAGCCAGACAATTATTATTTTCATAAGGAAGTCATCATTGGTTGCCTACATATTCTCCATAAAGTATACCTAAAGCTAAAACTTTTTTGGACTTCTCCTGTCCAGGAGACATAACATCCCTCCAAAGACAATTGTTAAATGAACAGGTGGAGAATGTTTCCATTTCCTTACTTCCTGTTCTGGTAACCACTGTGACATTTTGGTTTTTCTATTACCTTCTGCCCTGGTGGCAATATACCCCAGACCAAAAAGAGGGGTTGAATTTCCACAGCAGCTACGCAGCAATAAAAAATTGAGAGTGTTTTCAACACTTTTCAAAACTAAAAATAGAAAAAAAAAGTTTTGGCTCTCGATATACTTTAAGTCCATGAAATTGATCTGCACAACAAATTCATTTTTTTTTCTATTAGTCATTAAAGCTATTCTCTTTATATTACTAGCATACATTTTAGATGTGCTGAGGCAAATATGTTATGTTGCTATTTTTCCATTAGAATACAAAAGAAATCTAACTTGCACATGATGTTAATATCATCTGAACAATACGATTTAAGTTGCGTCATCTTTCATCTTTTAATGGAAGGGAAAGGAAAGGTCTACACAAATGTATACCACAATCTGCTCAGGAGCCATGCAAATTAATCTTATCACTGTTCCTCAGCCACCCATGAATCTTAATTGTCAGAGCATTACGTTGACCTTGGGATGCCCACACACATTGCACAGACTTCTCACTGGTTCTGTGTTGCAGAGGAACAAGTGAAACAATACTGGCAAACGTGTTCTTTGGCCAGACGTTTGCAAACTGCACTGAGTACGCAAAAGTTCATGGCACATGTAGACGTGCTGTATTCCACAGAGGCAACCTCTGCTTCCAGAAAAAATAACAATGTGCACCCTCTTTAGGATATAGTTTTAAATGTTTACTCGAGATACAGAAGCCCTGCCCTTTCTCATGAAGTAATATTGATAAGTCCTAAGGCTGCCCCTGACAGATCTAACTGGGCCAAGCTATCATTTGGTGACAGACAAGGCACAGGGAACGGTATATGTGTAAGATGCTGAATAGGGCATATTTAGGAGTAGCACTGGGATGCAACACAGTTAAAAAGTCTGAAAGAATAGCATTTTTTAACTTAAAAGCAGTTACATAGTTAGCCTGGCTGAAAAAAAGACAAACGTCCCTCCAGTTCAACCATTAAAAAAAAAAAAGTTATAATCCTATACCCACAGTTGATCCAAAGGAAGGCAAAAAAACCCCAGCAAAGCATGATCCAATTTTCTCCTGCAGGGAAAATAATTCCTTCCTGATCACCCGAGAGGCAATTGGATATTCCTTGGATCAACTTTACCTGTAAATGTTAGTATCCAGTTATATTCTGTGTATCTAAGAAAGAATCCAGGCTTTTTTGCCACAAGGCAAACAAGGCATTTGCCTAGGGTGGCATTTTTCAGGGGGGTAGCACCGCCCCCCTGTAAGAAGGGACGGAAGAAGGGACACATGTGGCTTGGGGACCAGATGGGATCTGAGAGAGGTTGCGGGCTGCTTGACTCTCGTTCCTGGGGATGTACAGAGCTGTGAGCCTGGGTTCATATATATGCGGTGCAGTATATCGCATGTGATTCGCACAGGAACCGCACCGCACCGCATTCCTGTGCAAATCACATGCAATGTGTGTACGGTGCGATTGGAGCCATACATTTTGTATGGCTCAAATTGCACCGCACCCGCACTAAAAAGGTGCAGAACCCTTTTTTGGTCCGCACTAGAATAGGATCTCATGGGTATTCACAACTATGCGATCCGATTCTGCACATCATACCACGTTTTGCGGACCGCTTTTGGGGTGTTGTTAACATACACACCCGCAGTGGTTCGCATGAACGGCGTGCGATTCTGATATGGTACAGAATTCGCACAGAAAACGCTGCAAATTCCGCACTGCATCAGTGTGAACCAGGTGTAAAGGTCAGTGTCTTTCTCTCTCTTGCTGGGAGGGTAGTGGCCTGTGTATGGGGCAATGGTAGTGAAGGTTCTCTCGGATGGGAGGGGGGGGCAGGGAGGGATGTTGTTGGTCAATGTCAGGCTCTCTCCGGGGTGGGGGGCCAATTTTTTGTGTTGCCTAGGGCAGCACAAAACCTAAATACACCACTGAATCCTTCGATATGGTGGCTGCATTAGTTTTCTTTTCTTAAGCTTTTTTCCTCTATGTTTTCACCCAGTGATCTGGCCAGTAACACACCTCCTGAATTAGTGTGCCTCCCTACACTCTGGATATATGAGCTCAGGGGGCTAATACTTTATAACCAGTTTTAGCAAACATTTTTTCTTTCCCTTTGGGATAAAGGTGAAAACAGAAGAAAGAAGTCTAAAAAAAGAAAAACAGACTATTAATGCAGCCATCACATGTACTTAATGCAGCCATCACATGATTTGGGTTTAATACCACTTTAAAAGAGAAGTATGGCATATTTTTTTATTTGCAGAATCATACTTACCTAGATGCTGCATCTGTACCCTGCCAGTTCTAGGGGTGAGAACTGAGAGCGGTGATTGTCAGTCACTGCTGTCTGCTCTGCCCAGCCCCCAGGTGGCTCAGGCTCTTAGCGGCTTGCTGAGAGGCTGAGCCAGGTGCCACCCCAGATTCTGGAGTGGATCCCGATTTTAAAGTCGGGATCTTTCCCCAGCCTGAACTGGCTGAGTGACGTCATCCGACATCGAGCTTCAGCCTGCTGTCAGCTGAAAACGGGTCACAGAAGTGCAGAACAAACTGCACTCCTGTGATCTACAGAAGTACAGCCAAAAGAGCTTTGGCTGTAATGTATTTTTCTGCATCACCTATGTTCTGCTCAACCTATTCATTGCAATTTATTATTGCTGTTAGGTGTAATGTAAGGTGCTTACTAAGGCTGCCTATAGAGGGGCTGAAATTTCCCCAAAACAAAGGGCATCTCTGAAAAATGTGGTGTTTCTTGAGATGTGCTCAGTGAGAGGAAACGGGGTATGTGCTTAGCATAACTTCATCCCCTTTCCCAAATCTGCAAACTTTTGCCAACAAGCTGGACCATCTCCGTCAGCAATGACAAGCATTTCTGACATTATAAACAATCATTACGTGAATAGTCCGCCTCTTGTCCAGTAGTGTATTTAGGTTTTGTGCTGCCCTAGGTAACACAAACATAGTCTGCCCTCACGGACACCGACCAACACCACCCCCACTTCCCCCTCCAGTTTAGAAAGCCTGACATTGACCAACAACACCCCTGCCCCCCCACTCGGGAGAGCCTTCCTCTAACCCCCCAGGAGATAGTGAAAAAGATCATCTTCACAGCTCCAGACATCCCTGAGAACGAGAGGCAGGCTCTACATACACCATCAAGCAACCACAGCCTCACGCTGATCCCACCTGGTTCCCATGGCATACGTGCTCCTTCTTTCATCCATTCTTCTGGGGGAGGTGCTGTCCCCATGAAAACTGGCGCCCTAGGCAAGTGCCTTGTTTGCCTTGTGGTAAATATGCCCCTGCTCTTGTCTAAGTGTCACACTGAGTAATTGAATCAAAGGTGGGTGTAAACCTAGTTCACAGCTTTCAGTAGACAGGATAAAGTTAAGAACTTCTGACATTGTTTTTTTCTTCTACAGGTACCTTCCTGTCCCAGTGACAACCACAAAATCTTCCACTGGGATGAGAGAATGCAGTAAAAGCCTGGCAGAGATCCTAACCCTTGAAAGCAGTTTTGTCAGCCTGCCTGAGTTCTCCTTGGACTACAGAACACTTCCCTTATGTTACAGAGATGATAAAGGGGAGTGTTTTGTAGCCCAGGAGGGGAGAACTCAGGCAGGGTTGCTAACACTGCATAGGATTTTAGTCTAGCACAGGCCATGTTGACAGCTCACTGCTGGAAGTTAGGAGCTCCATGGATTTCTGGCAGTATCAGCAAATATTTAGCTGTACTGGCAGCATTTTACGGTAATTTGTTTTACTTGCAGAATTCGAGAGACCAAACATGGGTAAGAGATATAGTATATTATATTTTTCTATTTTGGCCAGACATATACTTTCATTACAGTAGCTAGGTTTGGCTATGGTGATGCTAAGATGAAGAGAAGTGTGGTACCACGTTTTGTGTGTGAGTTGGACTGGGCTTTATGTACTGAAAGCCAAACTAGCTGACATTTTTATACAGGAGGTCCTATCTCTATATAAGCATAAGGGTCTATATATCTTAGTTTACTTATGTGTACATGAAAGTTTATGCACGCATTTGTGTAACCATTTGCAAGCATATGTTTATGAATGTAAATGTGTATATATGTGACTATGTATGTACAGTATGTGGCTGTGTATGAATATGAATGTCTTTGGTATTATGTCATGTGAGTATGTACAATATGTGTGCATACGTTTGTATAAGATGTGCAGAATGAATGAGAAAAAAACATGCATGTGAATGAATGTATGTACATTTGTGTTACATCTGAAGGTATACAAACCTTTGTAAGTTATTTTTGGGTCCTAGGTTGAGCTGGTGATTGGCAATAAAGTGTGCAGGCACTATGTACACAGTACAAAACATGGATAAATGCATAATATTCTAATTTGTTTGTACATAATGTTTTGCTTTTTGCACTGATGCTAATTCTTATAGTGAAATCTACTTGATTTAATGATTCAGTTACAGGAGTGTTACTATGGAACTTGGGGTACATGCCCTGGGTCAGCAACACCTAACACACTTTAGCTGCTTTTGGGACAATGATATCTCAGTTGAGGGAACCAGCATTGATCCACTAAAATAAGTTCTGGCACAATTCTCCCACTGATATCAGTGTTAGTAGCAGTCTTCTTCCCACTGACACCACTGTAAGAGGTAGCTTCCCCACAATGACAAAAAAAGAGACAGCATTCTCCCAACTGATATCAATGTAAGAGGTAGTCTTTCCCACAGATACCAATGTAAGAGGTAGTCTTTCCCACTGATACCAATGTAAGAGGTAGTCTTTCCCACTGATACCAATGTAAGAGGTAGTCTTTCCCACTGATACCAATGTAAGAGGTAGTCTTTCCCACAGATACCAATGTAAGAAGTAGTCTTTCCCACAGATACCAATGTAAGAGGTAGTCTTTCCCACTGATACCAATGTAAGAGGTAGTCTTTCCCACAGATACCAATGTAAGAGGTAGTCTTTCCCACTGATACCAATGTAAGAGGTAGTCTTTCCCACTGATACCAATGTAAGAGGTAGTCTTTCCCACTGATACCAATGTAAGAGGTAGTCTTTTCCCACTGATACCAATGTAAGAGGTAGTCTTTCCCACTGATACCAATGTAAGAGGTAGTCTTTCCCCACTGATACCAATGTAAGAGGTAGTCTTTTCCACTGATACCAATGTAAGAGGTAGTCTTTCCCACTGATACCAATGTACGAGGTAGTCTTCCCCACTGATACTAATGTAAGAGGTAGTCTTTCCCACTGATACCAAATGTAATAGGTAGTCTTTCCCACTGATACCAATGAAAGAGGTAGTCTTTCCCACATGTAAGAGGTAGTCTTTTCCACTTATACCAATGTAGGAGGTAGTCTTCCTCTGAATTATACACATAAGCAGCAGCCCCCCCCAAATTCCAATGACATCAATGTAGTTTAGGCAGTCTTCTTCGTGTTGACCACCAACATAAGGATCAGTCTTCTTCCAACTAACCAACAATATGTAAAGCAGTCTTCCTCCTATGGACACCAATCCAAGGCCAGTCTCCCCCTACTGATACAAATGCAAGGGCCAACTTCTCCCACAATAACCACCAATGTAAGGGGCAATATTTCTCCAACTAACCACAAATTTAAAAACAGTATTTCTCCCACTGACCACCAATATAAGGGCCAGTATTCCTTCTACTGGCCACTAAAGTAAGAGACAGTCTTCCTTCCACTAACCACCAATGTAAGGACAGTTTTCTTCCCACTGACCAACAATGTAGAGGGCAGTCTTCCTCCCACTGACCACCAATGTAAGGGAGAGTCGTTCATTCACTGACACCAATGTAAGAGGGAATAATTTATTTACTGACACCAATGTAAGGGGCAGGCTTCCTCCCACTGATACAAATGTAAGGACAGTAATTTTAAACAAGAACATTTTTTTTATCTGCTGACCATTGCACTCTGTACTGTACACTGCATTATCCTGACCACTGCACTCTGCCAATTTGTACATTACATTCTTTCAACTTCATACCCTATGCCATACTGCACATAACATTCTTCTGACTATTACACCCTGTTCACTGTACTTTGTGTTACTTATTACTGAATACTACACTCTGTACACTGTGCTGTACATTACAACCTCCTGACTACTGTACTGCATGGTACATAATCCTGATGTCTGCATTCTGTATGCTTTGCTGTACAATACGTACTTCGGACTGTTGTATTCATTACACTGTGCTGTATGTTTCATAATCCTAACTGATGCATTCTGTACATTTTAAACCTCATCCTTTGCTTTCTGTTCTGTATGTTACATAATCTTGACTCCTGCATTATATCTGTGCTTTGTACAATATGTTACATATTGCTGACCCTTGCTTTCCATACATTGTGCTGTATGTCATATACTTCTGTTCATTGCAATCTAAATGTTTAAATGCTATGTTTTGAGTAACATACTGTAGCCCTGCCTGCTACACTATAAATTGTTCTCATTTCCACAATAGCTTGTTAGTAGGTGATCCTCCAACTATTTTAATTAAGTTCTTCTTTAGAGTCGGCTCAAAAAAAGCGTTAACACTATGTCTATATTTTGAGTGCATTAACCTCCCTGGCGGTAATCCCTAGTGTGACTCGGGGTTAATTTACAGTACCAAAAGCGGTAACCCTGAGCCACACTTGGGATTACACTGTAGTGCTTGTCCTGTGATCCCCCAGTCCTTACCTTGTCCTGCATGTCCTCTGGCCAATGTCGGCATCCGTCTTCCGGGTTCCCTTCCCTGTGAGCGTCAGTATGCCGGGGGCAGAACCGGCAGGAGATTAAAAAAAGTAAAAATATGACATACACACAATACATTGTAATCTGTTAGTATTACATTACTGTATCAAACCATTTCACCTAAATATGTCCCTTCTTGCTTTGTCCTGTGCCCTGCCTGCACTTTTACCATTTTTTCTGCCTGGAAACTTGAGAATGTCAATGGCATCCAAAAAGCGTCCCTTTAGGCCAAAAGCGGTTTTAGACCAGCTAGAAAACAGCGACAGTGAATTAGAATCACTTGCAGAATTGAGTGATAATGATTCTTGGGGAAATTCCTCATCAGACACTGAAAACGATTCTGCGACTGAGCTCAGTGATGTGCGAACTTGGCGCTATTTTTTTAAAATTTCAGTGTTTTTGGTTCTATTACATCGTTTAATTAAATGTATTATTATTATATTATTAATTTTTTATAATTATTTATTATATTATAATTTATGATTTCGTGTTTCAACTTTATCATACCCGGGATGTTTACTAGATGTTTTTTGGACAGATTTAGGTCAGTTATTCCTAAGAATTACAGGCCTACAGTATAAAACAACATATTTTCATACAAAACAATGTGCCGCTTTGACATTCAAAAATATTGACTAGTTACACCACCAGGGAAGTTAAAGTATATGTGATAGAAGAGGCTCCTGATTCAAAAAATATTATTGTTCCCGATGTTTATGTGTGTCGGTGAGATTCTTGCTTGCTTCTAGTAACTTAACTATATTTTGTTGGCACTGAAGCATATGCATACAATATTTTACAGAGAGTAGACTTTTTTTTAAAGTGAACCTATGCCCAGATTATGCACTTTAAGTATTTCAAACCGTAAGCAAGAAATAAAGGCAAACAAGCCCTTTTTAACCTATGTAGCTATAGGCATTTTGGAGAAATTTGTTTTCAAAGTTCCCAACAGAGGCAGAGAAATCTTTCTGTAAAACAGAGTTTGAAAGCCTGTCAACCATCTAACCGGCAATTGTCAGAGAACAGATCGGCACTGATCATGAGGGCACTGAGGATCAGTGCCGCCCAGCAGTGCCACCCACCTGTGCCCATCAGAGCCATCCATCAGTTCCACCCACCAGTGCCCAACAGTGTCACCCACCTGTGCCCCCCACCAGTGCACAAGTGCCCCCATCAGTGCTACCCAGCAGTGTTGCCCATCAGTGCCACCCATCAGTGCCACCCACCAGTGCCCAACAGTGTCACCCACCTGTGCCCAGCAGTGCCAACCACCAGTGGCCAGCAGTGCCCCCATCAGTGCTACCCATCAGTGCCACCCATCAGTGCTGCGCATCAGTGTACTCCATCAGTGCCACCAGTCAGTGCCTCCCATCAATGCCCATCATTGCTGTATATCAATGCAACATAATCATTGCCGCCTATCAGTGCCCATCAGCGCTGCCTATCTGTGCCACCTCATCAGTTCCCATCAGTGCTGCCTATTTGTGCCACCTCATCAGTGCCCATCAGTGCTGCCTATCAGTTCCCATCAGTGCTGCCTTTTTGTGCCACTTCATCAGTGCCCATCAGTGCTGCCTATTCGTGCGACCTCATCAGTGCCCATCAGTGCTGCCTATCAGTTCCCATCAGTGCTGCCTATCAGTGCAGCCTCATCAATATACATCAGTGAAGGAGAAAAATTACCTGTTTGCAAAATTTTATAATAGAAACAAAGAAAAACTTTTTTTAAAATTTTTTGCTTTTTTTGTTTATAGTGCAAAAAATAAATCACCCAGCGGCGATTAAATACCACCAAAAAAAGCTCTATTTGTGAGAAAAAATGATAAAAATTTAATGTGGGTACAATATTGCATGACCGCGCAATTGTCATACAAAGTGTGACAGCGCTGAAAGCTGAAAATTGTCCTGGGCACAAAGGGGGTATAAGTCCCCGGTAGGCAAGTGGTTAAAGTATAACTAAAGGCAAAACTTTTTTTTTTTTTTTAGATTTGGATAGAGTGCAGAGGGATTAGAACACTTGTCAGGTTTTTATTGCTGTCTGTGCTCTTGTTAGGGAGATTCACCCTATTTGTTCCGTTTACCGTTATCATTAAGGGCCGGTTCACACTATAGAAATGCAATCCAAATGCGTTCCGTATGCGTTTCTGCATGTGCGTTTTTTATGCGTTCCACTTCATTATTTCCCCTCACTTTTTCTTTTTCTTCAATTTAAATAGGGACATGTGCATTCCAGTGCGTTTTTGTGCGTTCCAGTGCATTTTTGATGTGTTTTACTGCGTTCCAGTACAGTTCTGTACAGGAAAAATGCAGCCTGTTCTACTTTTTTTCTGCATCCGGAATGAACTAGAACTGTAAGCACTGATGTTAATTATGACACTGACAACCATATAACTTACTCTCTGTGCATTTTGGATGCAGAAAAAAGCAACTGAAACACATGTACTGTATTTTGAACTGACCCTAAAAGTAAAAGAAGATCCCAAATTTTGGTTTGTCCCCAGAACAGTATTAGAGGGGAAATCTTCCAATGAGGATGCTAGCTCTGGTGACCTGGGGGCCCCCAAGGAAATCCCTTAATTTGCAGGGATTTCCTCTCACTTCCTGTTTGGCTATTGGACAGGAAGTGAAGGAAAATCTCCCCAATGGGACACAGGTGGCAAAAAAAAAAAATCTGACAAGGGTTATAACCCTCCCTTGCTCTATTCAAAATTAAAAAAAAAAAAAACGTTTCGCCTGAAGTTCTACTTTAATGGAATGGCACTTGTAACATTTCAATAGTTTTAACCAAATCTTTGTATGCATTAATGTATAGTCTGCATATTTTAGGCCACATGTACACTGGATGTTTCTACAGCTGCTATTTTTGGCATTTTTTTTAACATCCATTAAACTCCCCAGCATGTTATTCTAAGTGTCCATGCACACATAGGCTTTAACCGCTTCCCGACCACCCTATAGCAGATATACTGCTACAGGTGCGCAAAAGTTTATATATGTGATTTTGCATTTTCACTGGTATCAGGAGAGGAATGGCGCCCCATCACTGGTGTCTGGGAGGAATAGCGCCCCATCACTGGTGTCGGAGAGGAATAGCGCCCCATCACTGGTGTCAGGGAGAGGAATAGCGCCTCATCACTGGTGTCAGGGAGAGGAATGGCGCCCCATCACTGGTGTCTGGGAGAGGAATGGCGCCCCATCACTGGTGTCGGAGAGGAATAGCGCCCCATCACTGGTGTCAGGGAGAGGAATAGCGCCTCATCACTGGTGTCAGGGAGAGGAATGGCGCCCCATCACTGGTGTCAGGGAGAGGAATGGCGCCCCATCATTGGTGTCAGGGAAAGGAATAGCACCCCATCACTGATGTCAGGGAGAGGAATGGCGCCCCATCACTGGTGTTAGGGAGAGGAATGGCGCCCCATCACTGGTATCAGGGGGGGGAATAGCGCCCCATCATTGGTGTCAGAGGGAAGAATAGTGCCCCATCATTGGTATTATGTGAGGAATAATGCCCCATCACTGGTATCAATCGAAGGAATAGTGCCCCATCACTGGTATTAATCGAAGGAATAGTGCACCATCACTGGTGTCAGTGGGAGGAACAGTGCCCCATCACTGGTGTCAGTGGGAGGAACAGTGCCACATTACTGGTATCAGTGGGAGGAACAGTGCCCCATCACTGGTGTCAGTGGGAGGAACAGTGCCACATCACTGGTATCAGTGGGAGGAACAGTGCCCCATCACTGGTGTCAGTGGGAGGAACAGTGCCACATCACTGGTGTCAGTGGAACAGTGCCCCATCATTGGTGTCAGGGGGAGGAACAGTGCTCCATCACTGGTGTCAGTGGGAGGAACAGTACCCCATCATTGCTGTCAGTGGGAGGAACAGTGCCCCATCATTGGTGTCTGTGGGACGAACAGTGCCCCATCATTGGTGTCAGGGGACGAATAGTGCCCCATCGTTGGTGTCAGGGGGAGGAATAGTGCCCCATCATTGGTGTCAGGGGGAGGAATAGTGCCCCATCATTAGTGTCAGTGGAATAGTATCCCATCATTGGTGTCAGTGGAATAGTGCCCATCATTGGTGTCAGGGGGAGGAATAGTGCCCCATCATTAGTGTCAGTGGAATAGCATCCCATCATTGGTGTCAGTGGAATAGTGCCCCTTCACTGGTGTCAGGGAGAGGAATAATGCCCCATCATTGGTGTCAGGGGGAGGAACAGTGCTAATGGTGGGGAGAATAATGCCCCAAGGGCCGGATAAAGCAAGCAAAGAGCCACAGTTTGGAGACCACTGCTCTAAACAATTTCAGAGCAACCCAGCAATGAAAAGCATTATAAAGCCCCCAATTGTGTGCCTTGTTCGGCTATACTTGTCACGTATAAGCAGTTAACTACTTGCCAACCGCAGATAGCTGAATGACGGCTACACTGCAGCTGGCTAATTCTGGGAGGGCGTCATATGACATCCTCCCAGAGCGCGCTCTGGGCGCGCACCCAGCGATCTCCGAGATCGCTGTGTCCTACGGGCACAGTTGATCACGTGATGTGATAAAAGGCCAATCACAGTGGCCTTTTACCACGTGATCAGCCGTGTCCAATGACATGCTGATCACCGGGAAATGCAATTGCCGGTTCTCGGCTGCACTTTCCTCACGCTGTCAGAGTGCGAGGAAAGTACTGTAGAGAATCGGCAGTTGTCAGAGCAGGGATCGGCACCGATCATCAGGGCACTGATGATTAGTGCCCTGATGATCGGTGCCCAGCAGTGCCCCCCACTAGCTCCACCCACCTGTGCCCAGCAGTGCCACCTACCTGTGCCCAGCAGTGCCACCCACTAGTGCCCATCAATGCAGCCCAGCAGTGCTGCCACCAGTGCCCAGCGGTTGTGCCAGTCTGTGCCCAGCAGTTGCGCCAGTCAGTGCCCAGCAGTGATGCCAGTCAGTGCCACCTATCAGTGCTATCAGTACCCATCATCAGTGCCGCCTATTCGTGACACCTCATTAGTGCTGCCTATCACCTCATTAGTGCTGCCTATCAATGCCCATCAGTGCCGTTTATCAGTGCCCATCAGTGCCGCCTATCAGTGCCCATCAGTGCCGCCTATTAGTGCCCATCAGTGCCGCCTATCAGTGTCCATCAGTGCTGCCTCATCAACGCACATTAGTGAAGGAGAAAAATTACCTGTTTGAAAAATTTTATAATAGAAACAAGTTTTTTTTTGTTTTCAAATTTTTTGCACACTTTTTGTTTATAGCGCAAAAGGTAAAGAGCCCAGTGGCGATTACATACCTCCAAAAGAAAGCTCTATTTGTGAGAAAAAAATGATACAAATTTCATATGGGTACAGTGTTGCATGACCGCGCAATTGTCAAACTGCGACTGCGCTGAGAGCTGAATATTAGTCTGGTAAAGAAGGGGGTATAAGTGCCCGGCAGGCAAGTGGTTAAAGGAAGACTGACAACAGGGGGCGGTTTCCTTTTATGTATCGCTTGCAGTGTACTTCGTGAAATGACTCGGGTCACGGGCAATAACTACGACACATTTGGCGGGAAATCAGCTGATCAGCCCAGACAGGGTACCGCTTCTAACACCTGTGTACCACATAACTTAATCCCGCCCACAACAGCGGCAACGTGATCGACCCCGCCCCCTTCAACCTGCGCGACCCGGAAGAGCTAGTGTGAAGCCGACAAGCGTATACCGGGCTGAGTTAAAGCTCGTGTGGGTCAGCACTGTGGGAGGAGGGCATTGTGGTGAGTGAGCTGAAGGATAACAGGCTGCTACTTGGGGGAAGGAAGGAGCAGCTGGAACGGCTACATTGTTCTGTTGTGTCAGTACTTTTCTCTCTGCATGCCTATGGGTAGTATATTTATTGTGACAGGCAGTGGGGACTCCTTCATATTGTGTCAGTTGAGTTTCATAGTTCAATGTGGGCTCCACACCAGGAGGCATAACAAACACTAGTGTCCTGTCCACACCATAGATCTGCATGGAAGTGTGCTGTTTATGTCTAGGTTCACACCTAAGTGTTTTGCACGAACACACTACAGTCCATTTTACATGATTTCCTGTGGGGCACGTTCACATCTCTGCGCTTTTATTCTGTGTGATATTTGGAATGGGTCGGAATTTTTAAACACAAAATGTTGTATTTTGGTTCAATGGACTTTAATGGAGACGCTGCAGAAATGCATGTAGTGTGTTCTTGATGTGTTCTGTGTTTTTAATCTGCCCAGCAACAAGTTCACCAAAATAAAATACAAAATGCATTAAAAACATGTAAAAATGCAAAAAGCACTGCAGAAGTGGATCAAACACAAACTGCATGGGGCAAACCTAGACTAAAGCAGTATTAAGCTCTAAAGCAAACCTTTAGGCTAGGTTCACATCTGTGCGGGTGATGCTGCTGCGGATCCACATGGAAATCTGTGCAGCCGCACCGCCCGCACAGGGGAATGC